GTATACTGACTTAGCAGGTCATTTTTTATGTATTTAAGAATATATGTATATGTAACAACAATTAATGAAAAAAGTCCATGAATTTGAAAGAGAGCAAAGAAGGCTATATGGAAGGGTCTAAAGGGAGGAAAGGGCAGGGAGAAATGATGTAATCATACTAAAATCTCAAATTAGTAATAACAAACAGTCTATGTCTCCCCCATTGATTCTGAGCAGACTCATTTGCAAACTGTAAAATACAGCTCAGTGATACAATGTGTGATTCTAAGGTGAAGTTGGGAAAGTCAAGTTCTTAGTAGACTCCTTGAACACCCATGCTTGAAAACCTATTTATGCTGCAAGTCTAACTACTCTGAGATCACACAGCAATGAGGAAGCTAGTCAGATGGGGAAACCACATGAATCCTTTTCCAGCAGGCACCAGGTTGTGAAACAACTAAAGATTCAAATTCTTGGCTACCAGGTTTGCTTCAGCCTTCAAAGTTTTTCTGAGGCCCCAGAAGTCACAAACTTAAGTCAAACTGTTCCCATTGTGCCCTTCCCAGTTCTTGAAACACAGAACACAGAAACATGAGAAGATGGTAGTTGTTTTAAACTAGAATTAAAAAAAAAACTCCCTTACTGACTGGATCTGAATTTTGGAGATTTCTTAAAGTGATCAATAAAGGCATTTTTGGAAGGCAGTTGGAAACTTTTTGGCTATAGACTGAGTATTAGAATATCCCTTTTTATTATTTAAGACCTTTATTAACGGGTGCTTGCAGTTTGTTGACTTTTTTTTGAAAAAATCAAGTTGTAAACTTTTTATTACAAATTAAAAATGAAGTTCTTAAAAATCTTAATTTGACCAGATATGAAACAATTAAAAAAACATTAAAGGTTTTGAGAAAAACCAGACCTTTTTTAAAAAAAAACACATTTGTCATTACCAAAGAGAGACATCTTTAGGTAAAAATACTGTGGTCGACAAACAGTAAGGTGGGAACCTTTGCCTGCAATAGGGCTGGCGTTGTTGGGCTTGGCCTTCAGGAGCACTTTCTGATCCCTCATTCTTTTCCACACTCTCACTATTCTGGTAATTCTGCTGGTAATTATGTGGAGGACCCCTATGACGTGGATAGTGCATAAAATGGTTACGGTCTGCTGCGTATTTACTGCCTTGAACTGGAACTCCATCAGGGTCTGTAACATTTGCTGCCTCCGCATCCTTTTCTCCTTCAACAACATCAAACTCCACAATCTCTCCATTTCCCACACTGCGAAGGTACTTCCTGGGGTTGTTATTCTTTATGGAAGTCTGGTGTACAAATACATCTTCCTTGGTGTCATTCCTGTTGATGAAACCGTATCCTTTCCTTACATTGAACTATTTTACTGCTCCCAAAACCTTCGTTGTGGTGACCTTCTTGTCCCCGCAGGTGGGCAACGCCACCCGGGCCTCCACTCCCCGGGCCGCTGCCCATGGAGCCAGGCTTGGTGTAGGCGGCGCTGAGGGCGTCAGGCTGCTGCTGGGTCTCAGCCTTGTTGCTCATGGTTGCAGTGGTCGTGACTAGGGCTAGATGCAATGGCTGAGGCTCCTCCCAGGGTGTGATGGTGACTAGGGCAGCGGTGGGGCTCTCAGGGCTCTCTGGGGTCAGCTCTCTGCTCCAGCTACCGATTGAACTCGTATTAGAATATCTTGTAGACTTAACTGACAAATATTGATATAAACAGTGTTATCATAGAGGGAGGCATTCTTAGGAAATACTCAAATGGCAAAATGTTGACATATATTATCTTGAAGTGCCTCAGGAAAAACTATAGATAGCTAAATATGGATAGAAGGATGAAACAATTTTGACAAAATGTTAATATTAAAGAATTAAGGTATTAGTTAATGGACATATATTTATTTATGTTACTTTTCTTATCCTGGTGACCAAATGTCTAACAAGAGGCAATTTAAGAGAGAAAAAGTTTATTATGGCTTGGTTTAAAGTTCTTATTGGTTACAGTTCATTATTAACCAACTATAGTCAAAGGAACAGGGAAACCGGTAGTCTCACACATTGCTTTGTGTGAGTATAAACAATTTTTGAGATGTATTTTTGAGTGAGAGCCAGGTATTACACACAGGCAGATCTCTAAGAGTTCCAAATCAGCCAAGACTACACACAAACAAACAAAATGTATTATTTAGTGAGAAAAGCAAAAGACAGTACATAAAGGAATCTTCCAATAGAATAAAAAAGGCAAAGATAATATATACATGGTACTCAGATGTAAATATCTGAAAATATCTCTGAAAACATAAGAAACTGTTAACAGCGGTTTACTCCAAATGGAGAAGTAGAAGGCTAGAGAATAGGGTAGAAGAAAGGCCTTTCAATGTTTATCCTTATATACGTTGACCACTCTATAATTTCATGGAGAGTCAGTCTAAATAAATTATCAGAGATACATGTAAATATGCTTACTTCAGATGTTATTACTAATCATAAAACTTGGCAATGGCATAAATGTTCCACATTAAAGAAGAAGTTAGGTATATTCATGGAGAGATATTTCTTTGATCATACAATTGAGAAAGAACACTTATTGGAAAGATGGGGAAGTATATCAGAAATTAATGAAAGGAGAAATCAGACTGATAAACTGAGGAATGGTGGTAAAAATTCTGAGACAAGATCTCACTATGTAGGCCAGAATGACTTCAATCTCATTATGTAACCTAGGTAGACCAACTGTAAATCTGCAATACTTTATTTTCTAAGAAAATGTAGACTTGTCTGGCTTGAAACCTACTATATAGATCAGGCTGGCCTCAAACTCACAGAGATATCCCTACCTCTACCTCCCAATGTTGAGATTAAAGGCACATGCCCAGAAAAATATTTTATTTTAGCAAAAATAATTTTTTTACATTTATTTATTTGGGGAGAGGTCAGAGAACAGCTTTCAGAAGTTAGTTGTCTTCTTCTACCATGTGGGCTACAGAGATTGAACTCAGGTTGTCAGGCTTGGTGGTAGGTGTTTTTACATGCTGAACCATCTTTTTTTTTTTAAAGATAAAATATTTATTACAAGGAGAGAGGGAGAGAGAGAGACAGAGAGAGAGAAGAGATAAAAGGAGAGAAAGAGATAAAAAGGCCATGCTGAACCATCTTGAAAGTTCAAATCTGCAATCCTTTGATTCTCCTGTCTCCACTTTTGTTGGGCTACTAGGGCTGCAGGCTGTGGTACTATGACTAGCATAAATTCTATTATCTTGAGCTTTTGAAGCATCTACCAGGAAAATAAAAGCTATGATGCTGCCTTTAAGGCATAGAGTTGAAAGTAGAGAACAGAGAGAGAACACTGCTATTCAACCTAAAATCCTCTATATTAATTGCTTGCTACAATACTACCTTTGATTAAAAAGCAAAACAAAAATAAGAGTATGAAGTTTTATTGTAAGTATTATTTCAAACCCCTCTCCCCTAGTACTAAGGATTAAATTCAGGTTTTTACATGATAGGCACTCTACTACTGAGCAATATTCTCAGCTCCTACAGTGTTATTTCAACCAGAAAAAGAAAAAAAATGAACAGAAACATAAAACACTAGAAGAAAATGTCAAAATGTTAACAGTGGCTGCTTCTGAATGGCAACATCCTGGATGACTACTTCTTCATAATTTCCCTTACTTTTAGTATTTTTCACATTTTTTAATACACCAGTCAAAAATTTTATCTTCATAGAAGAAATTAAAGGTAGTAACTATAAGAAGAAATAGAGAAAATATGTTTGATTTTTATATCTTGGTGATTCACTCATTAAAACACATTCTAAGAATTAGAGAGATCATAAGCTTAGCTATATAAATTGCTGTATTGCTGGGACAATAGCAAACATGACACAGTAGAAGCTTGAAAAATGATTGTGTATTGAGATTTATTCTTTCTTGCTGATGGAAACTCCATTGCCAGTCTGTGAAAAAATCCTGGACTGGCCTCCTGGAGGATAAAAGAATGTGTGGAAAAAGGACCTAGGTATTTTTATGCTACCTAGTCCAAAATCAAGCTGGCTGAGATTGCAGGAACAGCTTAACCAACACAGAATCATGAGAAGTGGTAAGTATTCTTTTAGGCCATTAAGGTTTGGGTAGTTTGTTAAGCAGCAAAAGCACCATGGGCTGTGGAAGAGAATTCAGTGCCTTAAAGCACTTTCCACATAAGCATGAGAACTGGAGTTTGGCTCCCCAAACCCATGTAAAACTGGATGTGGTAATGAGCATCTACAAGCCCAGAATGTCTACAATGAGATGGGAGGCAGAAACAGGAGAAACTCTGAAAGCAGGGTGTATTGAACAACAAAAGATCCTTCATTAAGAAAGGTGAAAGACAAGGGCCCACGCCTGAGGTTGTTCTCTCAGGTTCACATAAACACAACTGCATGCACCTATGAATAAATCACACACAAGTGAACATGCACATTCACTACAGACAGAAACATTCAAATTTTACAAAGCTCCCAAATGCTTTTAGGTGTAAATAGCCTGATCAGTGAGAAGAAGAAAATTATTTTATCTCTCAAAATTCCATGTTGATCTCACTGACCTACTTTCCCTCTCTTCCTTCCCTTCCTCAGAGATGACTTCTCAGTAGTTGACAATCTTGAGATTCTTGCAGAGCCCAAGAGTCAACATAATTTTCCTCTTTGGAAACAAAATTATTATGGGGGAATGAGATGATGGTTACCAGAATGTTCTTAGATGCTGAACATGGCTTATTGAAATTTTCCTTGTTTCCTTTATCTCAAGCCATATGATATCATAAAGCAATAGCTATGATTTTCCTAGCTAGATTACATAAACTGTGCTACACAATCATTTTAGCTCTGGCACCAAACATGGAACAGATGTTTGCTGACTAAGCAAATGAGTGACTGAATAAGATCTTGTTGTACCATTTATCTCTTATTTCAATTAATTTTTTCACCTGGCCACTCCTACAGAGTCTAAGATACAGATACTAGATCACCTTTAGGACTCCATGGAGCATCATCTGAATTCTTCTTTTTTTTGGGTCGAGATTTCAGAGCAGGGTCATCATCATCAGACTCCAGGGATGGATAGACTGTAGAGAGAGGTAAAGGCAGGAAAAATGAAATCTCATCCAAAAAGGCAAAGACAGAATTACACATACTTCAGTCCTTCCTACTCCTCTTCAACTTTACTCATCTACACATTCCACACTCAACTGCAGAAGGTCCCTAAATATCTCACAGTTTGTGCCTTTTCTATGGTTGTTCCCTTGTTATGAAAGTCCTTCTCCTACATTCACCTTATTCTGATTTATTTGGCCCACATCACTAAGGTGAGTTACTTGGCTCACTTTTTAAAAACTCAGCTCTAGATTTAACTCTGTAATATGTTTTTCCTCATTCTTGTAATCTGATTTAGATTCCTCCTTGCCAGCTCTCCAGAGCAACCTGTATTATGCTTGTACTGGAGATATTACATTGTACTTAGAAACTGACTATTATATTTACAAATGAGGCCAGGGATATGTGTTTGATTTTATATTAAAGCACCCCCATACAATGAAAAGCAGGTATTTACTGTTTGTGAAATAATGAGAAAAATAAACTTAGTTTAACAGGACCAAGATTATTGGAACTACATGATCTAACTGATACAGTACCCATATACAAGTATCCTATATTACAGAAACAAATACAAGTATATAGAGTATCAAAAAATTCATAGGCAACTCCTCATAATCCACAGGCAAGATTTAATGGAAATATGGTATAGAAAGATTCTATTGATAATTCTGATTGCATTCCCAAGCCTAGAAAAGAATTTTATAAATAACAACCTCCTAGGAATGTTCCTCCTACTTCTCTCCACAGAGCTTATCTATAGAAAATTGAGTCTATTTTTCAGACCTTCCTCTTTCAATAAAGAGGTAAAAACTTTGCCTCCTGACTATTTTCTTTCGAAAAGGGAGTATTTAATTGTTCTTAGAAAAAGATTGAGCACTAGTAACAGAGCTCTTTCAGAAAAATCCATCAATATTACTTTGTTAGATCTGAAAGTTTTTCTACTCCAAAGAAATAAGTGTGGCATAGCAGAAAGACTTGGTGTCTTAGGGTCAGAAAACTTTGAAATACTGGACGACACAGTAGCGGCCTAAAAACAGTTTCAGAATCTTAAAACATAAAAATCGAAATAATAAACAATATCTAAACTTGCCTTGCAAAGTCGTGTTCAAAAGCTGTACTTAAGAGTTGATATGTGTGGGCCAGTAAGATGACTCAGCAGGTAAAAATGATTGCTGTACAAGCTTGGTGACTTAGATTTTGTTTTCCAGAACCCACATAAAGGTGGAAAGAATGGGCTACATAAAGTTGTCTTCTGACCTCTACACATGCTGTGGCATATGGACCCACCCACCACGACAGCATTTTTTGAAATTTAATAAGAAACAGATAATATTTAAAGTAACTTACATAAGGAATTCCATTCTGAGCTTCACATTTTAGTCAACAGGTATAAATTATAAATTATGCCTTTGCATTGAAAGAAAATATATATAAATATCCATATTAAAATATAAGGTTGAAGCCACTTCCTGATTTTAAAACATATTACTAAAAATAGTTATTAACTCAGTGTGCAACTGGCATAAAGGCAGGTATGAGAACCATTGACAAATAATATTCTTTTGATTTTTGGGACAAGGTCTCACTCTGCTGCCAAGGCTGGCCTCAAATATCAAGTGCCTCTGCCTCCTGAGTATTGGGATTACAGGTATAAACCACCATAACCAGCTCTCGCTAAGATTTTTGTACCTGTTTGTTTATTAATACTTTTAGTTGGCATACAAAATAATGAGTTATGACATTTTATGCATATGTCGTTGTATATTGCACATGACTCTATCCTCCCTTAGCTGTTCTCAGTATCAATAAGCTCTAAAAGACTAAACTAATACAAAACATCTCCAACTACAAAAAGCTAAAAATCAGTAACAGAAAGAAAATGGAAAATTCAAAACTAGGTAGAAGTTATACATACTCAAAAAGAATCAAAGAAATAGTCACATGTGATTTCAAAGACTTTGATAAAGGGTAAGAAGGTTCAGTGGGTAAAAATGTCTACCACCAAGTCTGAAGACATGAGATCAACTCCCAGAATTGTGGAAGGAGAAAACTGACTCCCACAAGTTGTCCTCTGATCTCTACACATATATAATGCCCCAAAATAAAAGGGAAACTTTTTAAAACTTTGATATGAATTGAAACAAAAATAGAATATATAAAAACTTTAAAAAGTGCAGCAAGAACAGTGCACAGATAGCAATTTATACCTGCAAATGCCTACATATAAAAAAGATTCTAAATCAATAGCCCACCTCCATAAAAAAAAAGAATTATTATCTGCCGCTGCCACTCTCCATACCCACAGCCACAGTTTACAAAAGAGCTCTGACTGGTGACTATATTCCAAGTCCCATCCATCCCTTTGCACAGGCTTAGTTCCAGGCCTGTGACTCTGATATAACCTGGTTAGTCCCTCTCATGTACGCCCATCTGCCTCCCCACTCTCATCTCCACAACCACAGGCCTAACTCAAAACTCCAATACTGGCTTTGCCTGGCCTAGGTCCAATCCAGCAGTTCATACATACATACATCAGTTTTACCTAGCTCCTATACTGATCAAATCTAAGGAAAGCTAAAAATTTCACATTAGATACACAAGCAAAGAAGTCCATATGCCCAGGTCACATTGAAAAACTCTATGAAAGACCAAATCAGTATGTGTCCCATTAAACCCACCAGTTTTATAGAAATGTTCTCTAATGAGAATAATCTAGGTGAACCCCAGAGCACAGAGTTCAAAGAATAACATCTTTAAGGAATTCAAGATGTTTAAAAGAAGACACAAAACACCTCATTGAAATTTAAAAGGATAACAAAACATGCTAGAATGATGCTCAACAAAACCAAACAGAAAACTGAAGAAAATGATGAAGACAATTCAGGGTTTCAAATCCCAATTGAGAAATAAGATAGAAATATATTGGTGCAATATAAAGCTGAAATGAAGATGGAATTGAAAAAATGATTTGACTCTCACTACCCACCCCCTCAACCACTCTTCCTAGTCCACCTCCATTCCTTTGTGACTTTGTTCTAGAGACACCAAAGACACACTTGACTGGGACCCAGGCAGACTACCAGCAGACTACTCCTTTTCCTATTCCATCTGTTCCCTCTCCAGTGCTTAGCCCCTGCTTTCATTTCATCTCCACTCCCTTCAGACCTGTGGCCATCTGTGGCTAGATTCAGGGTACCCTTAGTTCTGCCTCTGCCCCCCCTTTGTGAAGCCAGGCCCCAAGTCCTAATTAATGGAACTTCCAGAGTCAGTCCCATTCCCTGCCTGTAAAACTCAACCTTAAAATGGATCAAGGACCTAAACCACAGGTCACAATTCCTCAATGGAAAAATTGAAAGCCAGAAGAGCCCGGAGCAATGCACATAAAGTTCTAAAAGACCACAACTGCCAACCTAGACTGCTGTATCCAGGACACTATCTGTCATAGTTGAAGGAGAATGAAAAACATACCATGATACGGACTAAAATAATCTTTTGCTTATACATTATGGTTTCCAATTATGTGCTTATATGAGAATTGTTGTGTGTGTGGTTTGGTTTGGTTTTTTTGAGACAGGGTTTCTATGTAGCTTTGGAACCTGTCCTGAAACTGGCTCTGTAGATGAGGCTGGCCTTGAACTCACAAGATCCGCCTGTCTCTGCCCGCCTAGTGCTGGGATTAAAGGCGTGCGCCACCAACCCCTAGCATGTTCTTTTTTCTTTTGCTTGCTTGCTTGTTTGTTTTCTAAGGAGAAAGAAAGAAGGGAATGAAGTTGGGTGGGTAGAGGGGTGGAGAGTATCCGGGAGGAGCTGGAGGAAGGGAAATTATGATCAGAATACTTCTGTAAAATAGACTACATCCTGGGACAAAAAACAAATCTTTACAAATTCAGAAAGACTCCATATATCCTATCTTACTGTAAGATAATAAAACATATAGTCAAAGCAAACAAATCTCTAGTGAGTACACAAACTCATGGAGATAAGAAGATAAAACAACTCATTACTGAATGGCAAATGGGTTAAAGAAGTCAAGAAAAAAAAGAAAAAAATCTTGGTACTTAATTAAAATGAAACAGCACAATAAAATCTCGGGAGGGAAATTTATGGCTCTAAGTGCCTACATTTAAAAATCAGAAAGAACATGGAGTTCTCAATGATTAAGAGCACTGGCTGATTTTCCAGAGGTCATGAGTTCAATTTTCCAGCAACCAAATGGTGGCTCACAACTATCTCTAGTGGGATCTTCTGCCCTCTTCTGGCAGAAAGGTGTATATGCATAAAATAAATAAATCTCAAAAAAAAAAAAAAGCAAATCAGAAAGATCCATGTCAGCAATGGGGAGTCAGAAACAGGCAGATCTCTCTAAGTTCTAGGCCAGCCTTATTTCCATGGCACGCTCCAAACCGGTCAAAGCTACACAGTAAGGCGGTGGTGGCCCACGCCTTTAATCCCAGCACCCGGGAGATCTCTGGGAGTACGAGGCCAGCCTGGTCTACAAGAGCTAGTTCCGGGACAGGCATCAAAGCTACAGAGAAACCCTGTCTCGAAAAACCAAAAAAAAAAAAAAGAAAAAAAAAAGACCATGCGTCAAAAACAAACTTAAATTAGAAAGAGCACAAATATATGACTTAAAGATACAACTCAAGAATTTGGAAATTAAAAACAAAGCAAATTCAAGCCCAGTATATGGCAAACCCAGTATAACAAAAAAAAAACAAAAAACAAAAAAAAAACAGCAGAAACTAGTAAACTAGAAACAAAGAAAAATATAAAGAACCAAAAAATCTGTTTCTGTAAGAAGAGGAACAAAAACTGACACTCTTGGCCCAACTAAACCAAAGAAAGAAATAGTAACCCAAATTAACAGAATTAGAAATGAACAGGGAACCACTTATAAAAGACATATGGAAATTAAGAATATTATAATGGAATATTAAAACCTGCAGTTCATTAACTTCAAAAATTTAAA